TTTATTATGATTTTCGAACAAAGCAGCAACAATAAACTTATTGTGGTATTAGGTGCAAGACAATGAAGTGTCGATGCCAAGGCTCACCTAGCCTTTCAAATAAATAGTATAAAAAGATAAAAGCACACAATGAAAAAGGAATAGGTGAAAGACTGGCCTATCTGTCTTCATGGGGGACACACCGTAACCAAAGCTGAGCTGTGTTTGATAATACTTTTTTACCTAAGTAGTCCATGTAAAAAATAGATGCTTTCGCACAGACAACAATATGTTGCTGGGACAGCCTCATTGCCCCCTCCCCCTTCTAATCCCACCCCCTCCCACACCCCCAACCTTGGAGTGTGACTCAGTGAGGCTAGGCACCTGTGTCTGTGAAAGGTTGCTGGTTTGAGCCTCAGCAGAATAGTCGCATCTCTGTTGGGCCATTGAGCAAGACCCTTAATCCCCCCGCTCCCCCAAATGCTCCAGGGGTGCCAGATAAATGACTAACCTTATGCTTGAACCCCAAGCTTCACTCTCAACTGAATTTATGTGTGTGAACGTCTCCAAGCAGAGGAGATGGGATATGTGAAAACAAAACATTGCGATGGCAAATAAAGCATCATTTCTCTAGCCCACCTACACATTCTCCTCACCTCTCTAAAAAATCTTTATTAAAAGCTCAACCTTTTGTGTCTTTGTGCTTCAAAATGTAATCTGGTTCACCAGATCTTCTTTGGTGACTGTGATTTGAAGTGCAGTTATTAAGTGACACTGCTGTAATTTTTGTGCAGTTTGTCTCTAAATGAAACAGGTTCCAGATCATACCCTATACAAAGTACCTGGGAAGTTTGAAAAAGAACAATCAAATACTTACAGAGTTACTGTGTTCACAAAATAGTGTGAAAATAGTGTCTCTCTTTCTTTTCATTGCTGCCACATAGTGCTGTTTCAGTTTTGCTGTGATATAATTGTGATATAATCTGTATAATTTTTTGTGAAGTGGTAATAAGATCCGTGAAATACCAGTCCCAAAGATATATGTATTCCCTGTCTGGGGAATACAATTAAAAGCAGTACTGAAAAAATATATAAAGCTAATATTCTCTTAAACCCATAAACATCTGATTCTCACGTTTCTGTTTGAGATCAGTAGAAAAATCCCCTCATGTATTTTAAAGTGTTTGCTCTCTATGTTTCCCTGAGATTTATGTGATTATGTTCCTTAGTATGTTTGAGAACATAAATATCTTGAAATGTGGCTATGAATCAGCTGTGAATCTCAGTATTTGGTCAGAAGATAATCTAGGCATTCATGTGCTATTGTTTGCACTGTGAGGACAAAAAGTCCCCACAAGGGGAGACTCAATTTTCTAAAAATCTGTGAATGTGATCAAAAACTAAAAATGTCAAAAGTCATGTATTTTGTTTGGTTACTGATGGTTAAGGTTAGGGCTGGGGAGGGGTTAAGGTTGTCATAGTTGGGGTTAGGAGTATGTCCAAAGAAATGAATGGAGAGTCTGGAGAATCCCCACAAAGATATAGATACCTAATGTGTGTGTGTGTGTGTGTGTGTGTGTGTGTGTGTGTTTGTGTGTGTGTGGTCCAGGTATACATTACATTGTGGGGAGCATGATAACCAATACTCAAACTGAAAAGAATCTCTACTTTCCTTACAGAAATTAACTGTAGTGAAACTATCAAAAAGAATACTAGTAATGAGTAGAGTGACTCATGCTTACTTTAACCAGTTCAGTAAGCTCAGAAGGAATTCCTATCTAAACAATTAACACTGGAGTGTGAAAACTCATATTGAAAAGGTAAATGGCTTAGGAATTCTGGGAACTGGGATAATTCAAGGATACTTTACTTTTCTGCTTGCTCTTTCGGTTGTGAACAAGGCGAAGTGACGTAAAATTTTGTCATCAAGTGTTGGCTGTGAGTGACTGCAATCGGTGCACATGTAGCCAAGATTTTTATGTCTAGTAGAAACCATGCGTGTCAGTGTACTTTGACCAAACATGTGCAAGATATTTGATCAAGTATTCCTAGTAGGTAGCAGCACGGACTTTCACAGATCAGCAGTCAATAACACAACAGGAGAGGAAGAATAGCTGTTGTTGTTGACACAGTTATGGTGAGCAGCAGTGGCGGCTGGTGAAAAAAACTCTTGGTGGGGCTGACGTACCAATAGATTACCCTTCCTAGTCCAGTATAAGCATTCAAATGAACAGTCAGAAAATGACAACAATTTCACAATCATAATTTAATTTCCTTCTCGAAATCAGCAGTTTCACAGCTAAAGTAAATTAACAATTTACAGCTACAGTTATTTCGGGCTTGTCGGGTCCCAGGTCCTTAACGTGGATTTTTTTCCACCATCGTCCTTCTCGCAAAAGGGTAATTCAATAACGATCTCACCGAATTTGGTGGAAGCTGCCCCTCAACTGTCGTCGTCGCCATCATCTCTCTCTGACTGACTGACCTGAGAGCAATCCAAAACTTTCCCTTTTTTTTCTGTAGCAGGGGTGAAATTTCCAGCGCCCCAAAACTATTTAATTCGGCGATGCTGATAGGCCAAATTTTTATTTTCGCCTACAGTAGCAACCATTCACGATTGGCTATTTCGCTGCACTTCTGGGGCGCTTTGATGAGCGCCCAAGAAGAGAAATGATTGGTAGAAATCTGTCGGTGAAAATTCACTGTTGAATGAGAGTCAGTTGGTGGAAATGTTGTTTAAATAATTCAGATTGCATATAGGCACACACTATTAAGTAAAACTGACATTGATAAAAAAAACAAAAAAAAAACAAAGACAGTGATACCTCAGTTCTCGAACTCATTAGAACTCAAATTTCTCGAACCAACCAGTTCGAAAAAAAATTACCTAGAGCTCGATCTGAATCTCAGAAGTCAAACCATAAACGCCGACCAAAGATAACTTGTACGGCGGGGAAATAAGTCACGCGGCACATCTCTCAGCGGAAACAAAGGGTAACGCTTCAGTCTCAGCCTCGCATTTGCTGTGATAGCACTGTGCATGTTTACATACATTTAGACAATGATAGACATTAACAGTAATTATTATTATATAATAAAATACATTTAAAAATAAAGATTTCTTATTAATTATTATTTTAATATTAATAATAAAACCATTAATACATTTCATTATAACAATATTGTTGTGCCGAGCGGGGACGGAACGGAGATAAAGGCGCAGATGTCAGGGTATCGGGGAATACGGGGTTTAATTACAGGTAAGGCAGGCAAAACGCAGACGGACAATACAATGACCGGACTGGGGAAACAAACTGAAACACGGACTAAATACAGAGGGCTAATGACAACAACCAGAAACAGCTGATGACACGGAGATTCCACACGAGGTTAACGAGGGGGTGTGGCACATGGAAGGAGTGGACGATCGGGGCAGGACACATTGTTTTTTTTAACTTTACACATTGTTTGGATACATTTGTATTCTTACTAAATTACCGTTTTGATAAATTTGTTTAGATGTGCTTATGCTCTTTT